CATAGTTCATAGCCTCATACTAATGTGCTTTATTCCTAAAGCCCTGTCCTGGGGGTTTTTGAAGAAAAGGAATGAAGATCAACATGCCTTCCCTAGCCCGAAATTACACTGTTTGACTCATATAGTGAGGAGCTTTATAATCTGTAATCCTTTTGGGATTGTCTGTACTATAAGGATATTCTCTGGGACTTATGCCTATTTAACCAAGATTGTCTGCAATGGGGAGCTCCCATGACAGGGAATTCAGAAGAAGGCTGGCATAGGCTTCTAACTTATACCAGTGCTCCCTGATGCCTGTGAATATGGGGAAAGGGCGAGGAGATTTTGAGAACAGATAAGAGACATTTGAATTTCTCCATGCCTTCTGAAAAACCGTGTGCAGAGATGAATTGAAACTTACCTTGTTAGCATTATAAATCTAAACACTTTCCTTGCTAGGCCACAATGGCTTAATAATATCCTCTAAAGAATCTATGTTCACTCTACTTGCATCGATTTATATCTCCTTTTTCTAATTCTGTATTGTCTCTGGACACTTCTACTTCCAAATATCACCTGTTTAAGGAATAGCACTTACCTTGTCTTACACTGTGAATCCAAATTTCTCTGAAAAACGGTCTCTGGACGTTGTTCCCACTTGAGATTGCTGAGTGTCATAAACATTGGTTTTGAAGAGTATGGAGTGTTATTGGAAGACAGCTTAAGGCTAAACGTGGTTGTGCAATATGGTTCCTACCCACTGTCCAGCAGGTGGTTGGATACAGTTATGCCATGCTCTGCTTCTTGGTTTGTTCCATTCAAAGCATGAAAAAATGAAAGCAAAATGTAATCAATGAATTCAACTTCTCTTAAGCTCACTTTTATCTCCTTTCTATAAGACTCAGTCATTATTTCTGAATATGCCATCAATTTTATGTGAGTGAAAACCCAGTTTTAGTTTTAAAACACACAGATATAACAATAAGATGCAAAGTTCTACAGTAAAATTCTTAGACATAAACACTGAGATTTTTGGATTCACAAATAAATAGTTTAGATAACACTCAGAAAGATCTTTTCCTGCTAATTAGCTTCTATTGTCACCTCGTCCTAAGTTGATATGTAGCTCAATTTGTTAGGAAAGGGATTTCCCACACATGCCCTAACTATAATCATAAGCATCTGCGACTCTGTTTTCAAACAAAGCATCTGCAATTCTATTTTCAAACAGGTGGTTACTCATGAGAGAGCTTCTTTAAACTGCAATGGACCACACAGAGGTGGATGTCTAGCACATTTGCCGTGACTATGACTTTGCCCTGACCCTATCTTTCACTGTTTCTTCTTTTCAATATTGCAGGATTCTAACCATATGACTTTCCCACCCCTCACCTGATGGCTTCTACTGGCAACACCATCTTACGCTATTTGGGGTAAATGTGCTCCTTATCAGCCCTGGATCCTAGCCAGGCTCAGGACCTTGTGAGTGCAATGTCTATTGGGCTGTTGTGGGCCCCATGACTATGACCCAGACACTCAGTTTTGTATGCCACATCCCTTTTCAGGGAGCTAGGTCAAGGACATCATGCAACTCATTTGCATGCCATATTGAAGATTCACACTCGGGGGAATACTTTATTCTCAGGCAGCCAAGACTTTGAAACTCCAGCATAGTATGAAGAGTGCTGAGCCTTCAGCATTTTTAGCACATGATTTCAGGCTTGGAAATCTGATGTACTTGCAGACCTCTACACAAGAGGAGGTGTTTGCATAGAAACATGAGCATGCTGGGGCTGGGTCATCCTTTTGCTGCACATGTTAAAGCATACATTGTAACCAAAATTTTGGAAGCAATGAGAATCTCTTACTCTACTATTGGGATATGGGGTCACAGCAAGACTTTGGAGGAGGTATTATTGAGAAGATGCCTCTATGAGCTGTTACTCAGAGTCATTAATCACTTACAGGGCACTATGAGAATGGCATAGTTCATGTCTTAAAACCATTTATAGCTACTGGTTGAGACAGAAAAGGAAACTATGTGCTGTGTGATTAAACCAGTGTTTTCCTTTTTGCATTCTGTCTTCTACATGTGTTGTGGTGAAATGAAACTTTACCACATTCAGCAGGTGCTCAGGAGAAACATTGAGCAGTGTTGGTATATATTTCGATGGCATTCAAGACCCTGATAAATAATTTAGGACTTGGGGAGATCTGGGCATGGGAAGAAGAACTGAAAAAAAAAAAAAAAAACCAAAGGTAATTTACTAATGTATGTTTGTAGGTTAAAACACTTTTTATAGCTGACCGTAGTAGATAGAATCATTCTTTACAACTATTAAGTGGTATTAAATAGGTTGACCTGATTCCCTTGGAAAAGTGATTAATTTTGTCCTCCAGACCTTACTTCTGAAGCTCAAAGTTGGTTTAAACAATTCAGTTGTAGTAGAGGATAGCCTGATACACAAGTTTTGCCACAGAATCTGGGCCAGATGGCATTTGCAGTAAATGGAAGGTAACAATGATCAGCTCTGGTATTTACATGTGTAGGTGGTATGGTCTTGTGGGAGTGTTCATATGCTTACAAGTCATATGGCTCTTGGCCATAAACTATTGCCACGTAAGGCTTTGACTCTGTATCAGTATGAATAAGGTAGCTCTTTCAGCTCATGAGTATCCATTTGCTTTCTGTGTCAGGCTGATGTCAAGTTACCCTGCTTTCGTACTCTGGTGAACAGACACATAGATTATTAAAACTGAAAGGGATCTAAAAATTTGTCTAAACCAACATCCTATGTGAAGAAGGATCTTCCTTACAGCCTCACAAATAAGATGATTAGTCAGCCTCTACTTGAATATTTCCAGTAGTGGGGAGCTCACAACCTCACAAAGAAGCACAGCCCATTTTTGGATGGCTCTAATTTTTAGGGTGTTCCCTCTTATTTTTGATAAAAATCTGCCTCCCTGTAACTTCCTCAGTCATGACTGGAGTTCTGTTGTATGATCTGAAACCTTCGATTTCAGAATAGGGCATCACATATTTGAAGACCATCATCGAGTCCCAGTGTAGCTTTCTTTTTTCTGCACGAAGCATTCCAAGGTCTTTCAGTAAATCCCCTTGTTTTCTTGGCAGGGAGTCACTCATCACTTTTCTCTTCCCACTGCAGCTGTATTAAGCTCCTTGAACCTTTGCATCCTGGAGATACAGCTTTCTTGTCACAAAGCCCAATTTACCTTCTCTGAAAAGAGTCTAGTTCTTTTTATTAGTTTTAGTTGTACAGTTTGGGATTCTCCTTTTTCTCCTCTTTGTCTTATTTTTCTTCCCACCTTCCTCATCACTTGGCATTATTGTGCACAAAGTTCTGAATCATATTCTTCAACTTTGTTCGTTGTAATTTTTGTCACTCTGTCTTCCCTCTTGGATTATTTCTTTCATTCTCCTTAGAAAATTTTTGAATTCTCCCATCAGTTGGAAAAAAGAGACCCTCTTTACATCCTTTACCTTCTCCTCCAGCTTATACTGACTATGCAAGCAGCTTATACTTAGGTCCCATGCAAGCAGTGAGTTCAGAAAAACCAAGAACATGAACAATGTATCATCTCCTATTGTTGGCTCTTGATTTTGAATAGATATTCCCTACCCAACTAGATTCATGTCTGAGACTCTGAGTATAGGTCATTCATTGAATGTCTGTTACTGCTAGAGGCTCTGAGTATGTAGTCAGTTGATGTGAACTTAAATGTAGTTGGTGTTACATGCAGTTTAAATGTTACCCTATTTCAACCTCATGGTTCTCATTCTTATGCCAATAGCTACAGTATATTTATTCTCTACCATTGGATCTAATTACATAAGCTTTGGTACTTCTCATTATCCAGAAGGAACTTAATGTGAGAGAGGATATGTCTTCCCCACATTATGAAGGATTAAGAAACAGAGGCTCAGGGAGAATATTTGGCTCATCCAAGACTACACCATTAGTTCAGCAGCTGGTCACATGCTGTTTCCGATAAGCCACTCAGTTAGCTAACTCCCTTGGCTTCAATAGAGAAAGTGACTTAAACTGTGGCATTTCTGATCTTTTATACTCTGTGTGTGTGTGCGTGTGTGTGTGTGTACATTTTTTCTTCTTTATCACCTAGCATATTTTCTGATATGTAATAAGTTCTCAATAAATGCTGGTTAATGAATATTTCAAGCCATCTTTTCCTTTTGGAAGCTGGGATCATATGTAATGGAAAAAGACTAGATTGAGCAATAAAGTATAAAGTATAACTAGGAAAGGTCATAGTTTGGGATGAAGAGTAATGCAGTTTGTTCAGAAGTATATAAATCATTGTGCTATGTGCCACAAAGCCTATACAGAATGTATAGTCTAGTTCCTGATATCAGTGAGTTTATAATGAGATAAACATATTATATTTGGCATTGTGAAAATGAGATAAAAATAGAGACAAGACTGAATCATATGGGAAAAGATTAGCTTCCAGTTCAAGAGAATGTTATCAACATCAACGAGGCGTTCAGAGAAGGGAAGGTAATAAAGAGCCTGCTATTATGCTATTGTTCTTATCGGAAGAGGGGTGAGTGTGAGGGAGGAAGAGAGGACAGATGGAAGATGAGAAGAGGGTGTTTTCCAGAGACATGTTGTCCATTTAGTACCAGCCCTGTGTGGCAAATAGGACACGAACCTCCAATTGGCTTAAGTTCTTGAGGTAGAAGAGATTAAGAATGTAAAAAAGGGAACAAAATTTATTGAGCACCTACTATATGTGAATTCACGAATATTTCTTGATCACCTGTCTGTAGAAGGCACTGTGTTAGGTGTTAGAGATTCAGTGGTGATAAAGAGAGATACTATCTTCACCCTCAAGGGCAGGCCAGGTAGTGTGCTAGGAACCTTACAAAACTGATCTCAGGAAGGAGGTGCTGAAGTCACATAAGCTCCCCTTATGTAGTTATTCCAGTTTCTGGTTTTCATATCTAATGGAATTTTTATTTTTATTTTTTTTAACCATAGCTTCTCCAGCCTTTCCAGAGTGTATCTGTCTTTCCAAAATGAGTTCGATACTTTGTGCACATGCCGGGATCCCCATGGGATTGGTGACATCATATGCCATTGGCTCCTATTGCACGCAAGAGAGGAGACAGATCTGCACATTCCTGCAGTTAATGCTGAGCAGAATCTTGGCAGAGGTGGTGGCATCCTTCATTTGACTTTAGACCTTCAACCTCCCTTTTAAAGCCCTGGCTCACACAGTTATTGAGAAGCCTTATCCTGCAAAGAACCTACAGCTTAGGAAAGAGTTGCCCACATGTTTTCACTATCAAACAAAAAATATTGGCAAATCTTTTATCAATTTTCTATTCTGGCAGAGGTACCATTTATTATGGGGCAGATGGGATATAGATAGAGCATCTCCCTGCTTCTACCTTCCTGAGGTAAATGCCTGTTCCACTCCCCAATCACCAGGAAATGCCTTGGAGCAATGGAGTCTAATAGCCTGAGAGTTGTAAAGGGGCAGCAAAGCCACTTCTGCAGGAGGAGAGTGTGCATGAACCTTATTCATCATCCATATGGGAAGCTGATTCATGTACATGCTTTTCACCCTGATTTGACACATACTAACATCAAATAACTATCTGCTTTACCCCATTTGGATACTATAATAAAAAAAGATAGTCCAGGTACCTCATAAACAACAGAAATTTATTTCTCATTGTCCTGGAGGCCAGGACGTCCAAGATCAAGGTGCTGGCAGATTCAGGGTCTGGTTGGGGCCCACTGCCTGGTTTATGGATGGCATGCTCTCGCTGTGTCCTCACATGGTGGAAGGGATGAGGGATCTCTATAGGATCTCTTTTAAAAGCACTCTGAAAGAGAGTGCGACCCTCATAACCTAATCACTTCTCAAAGGCCCTACTTCCTAATACTATCACACTAGGGGTTAGAATTTCAATATAGGAATTTTGGGGGAACACACATCCAGTCTGTAGCACTATCTGATAAGGCTTCTGAATAGTCCTGGGCCATTTTACGTAATGGGGATTTACTAAGGACTCTCAACAGCATGGCTCTTGCTTCAAGGGGTTTTCCATGGAGGACCTGTCAGAATCACCTAAAGATTTGCCCTTTTGCTTTTGGGGGAATCATTGAGAGAAAAAGGACCTGGCTCCCATGCTTTCCGCATGCTCACCCACTCCGGCCCTTCTGATTAATGTTTGCTGTTCTGCTTTGCAGATGCCTCCCAGGACCCAGAGGGACACTGTAGCCTCATTTCTGTGGAGACCTTTGGCTGGACTCTCCTGGCTCTCCCAGAGGTGAGAGACTGTGGTTCCTGTAGCCTCAGGCTTGGCACCAACTCATCTCTGGTGGATCCAGGATTCCAGATATCCAATCTCACTACAGCCAGGGCCTCTTTGTCCCAGTGTGACCTTGCGGGCTGTCCCTCTGCCTGCCTCTTAACAGCCCCTGCCATTGGTGATTTTTGTTCCAACTATGGGCCAATGGATCCCTGAAAGCGACTGTGTGGGCTTCTCTCACGATCTCACTCTGGCCTCAGCCTGGTGGTGTGCTCCTCTGTGGTCTGGATGGGGATGATGAACTCGGGCTGCCTGTTGTTTTTGTTTTGTGATATTTAAAGCAGCCAAAGCTCTCATTACTGTAATACAGTATGTGCCTGGGCTGAAGGGGTAGCAGCATTCCTTCTGGATGAGGGGGCAGCTCTATTCTGTTGTGGTGCACCCGCCGGAGTGTTTAAAACCATGGCTGGTAGAATTTACAGTGTGCCAGGACTGACAGGGGCCTTGGAACTCCCGCATTTTCACGCATCCCAGCCCCTTGTTTGAATGAAGAGGGAGTTGAGCCCATTCTGGGTATGGGGCGACTGTTCAGGCCCTGGGGTGATGAGTGGCAGATCTGGGACTAGAACTCAGGCCCAGAGACCAGCTTGCTGTCATCTGGCTAAGTTTCTGCTTCTGTTCTCACTTGTTCAGATCCTTCTGAGACCCTGAACCAAATGAGGAAAATTCATGTAAATCTTAGCACACTGCCTGATATGTAATAAGTGCTCCATAAATGTTTATCAGTACTCTCATAAGCCCTGAGACATGCAAAATATTCTTGCCCTTCAGGGACTTACAGTCTTGAGAAGGAGACAAAATTTTCACACTTACACACTAACACACTTAAGGAGCAATTTAAGTCACTAAATGGTTATCTGCTAAGTTTTGGGGAATAGGTGCAGTGGATCACGCAAGAGAGGAGACAGATTATTATGGCCTAGAAGAAGTGCCATGGTGAAGATAAGAGCATAATGTGTATGACATCTGTGTATGACAGCTTTTCAACTCCTGGCAGTGAGATGAACAGGCCAGCAGCCATTCCTGGACACTGCAGAGCCCTCAGGCCAGCCACTCATCTACCCAGCACATTCACTAATTATCACCCAGCTCTGTGCTCTGCATGAGAATGTAAAGAAGACCATGACAAGATCCTTTCCTCAAGCCTAGCCAGGGAGACAGACATGCATAAAGATATGACCACTGAAAAATTCTACATTCATATCTATTTATATCCTCAAGGCATCATCTGAGCCCACAGGTGGGTAGGCAAGTCAGATAGGATCAAGAGTTTGAAGGAAAGCATACATTTACCTGGTAAAAAAGGGGCAACTCACAAGCCATAAGCTCTTGTGCAAAGGGGCTGGTAATTGTGAGTCTTCTGCAGGAGAGGTGGAGTTGCCGGGACGTTAGACCCAATCAAGGGCATTCTGAGAATGAGATTGAGAAATCTCTGAGGCCAGCATGGGGCAAGACTTTGGTGTCACATTCGGCCCTGGCAATGTGGTATTTTTGAGCTGGGCCAGGAACTGGAGAGGAGTGGGCCTGGTGGAATGGAGAGGGAGGCTCTTTACTTATCAAGAGTAGGTACCAGATGCTGGTGACTCAAGGGGAAACTTCCTGAATGGATATGGAGTCTGTAGATGTTTAATGGCCTAAAACAAACACATTTTCTGCACTGCTTGGTTCAGAGGCTGCAGGTTAAAGTAACATAGAAGACAATGTCCAGCCAGCAAGGTGAAGGAAGCATGAAATGGAAAGGGTTAGAAGCTGAACTTCTCTTGATCAATGACTTCATTATCTTGGCAAGGATTGCAGAAACTGCAGGTGCTGAGGGAGTGACTTGTTTGGAGGAAGGGGTAGGGACCAGGAAAGGAATCCCAGACACTTGGTGCTAACCCAACTGCTGAATGAGGCTTTCAGGCTCTGGGATTCAGTCAGGAACTCCTGGGCCACATTCTTCCTAGGTATAGGACTAGAGAGCCTTCACTCTTAGTGTCTGTATGTCCCTGGGCCAATCTGCTTTGTTCTACCATGCCTAACATCAGAAAAAAAAGGGTAGATTAAATTTAGAGCCACTACTCTGTGTCTTCATCCTGCTTGTTTTTCCTAAGGCAATTGAACCTTGGAAGGCCTTGTAAGTCCCTGTGAGGTCTACAGTTATCAGGGGTTGGTGAGGTCGGAGAACAAGCTGGTCTGTTCTGAATTCAACTCTCTCTTTCTCCCTTTCACAACTGAAGGTCTTCCTGAGCCTTTGCCTCTTTCATCAGCCTGGATGTTGAGACTGCAATTTTTCATGATTGCTTGTTTTGTATTTTTTCTTCATGGTCTTTCCTAAAGTCTGTTATTCATCCAGGTCCACTTATATGTCTTCTAATCTATTGCATGAACCCTGCAGCCACGGCCTGGCGTGAAGTTGCCTGCTCATTGTCTCGCTGGTTTTTCCAAATGCTCACAGGCACTAGTCATGTAAATCTCCTCCTGGCAAGAAAAAAGACTGACTTTTTGTTGTTGTTATGTTATCCCCAGGTGATTCAACCTGTCCTGGGATCACAATAGATGCTCAGCATACGATTGCCACCTCGACTGCTGATCTTTTTCTTCCTATACACCATTCTATTCACACCACTATTCAAAAATTGATATTTATAAGCACTTACTATATCCCAGGAATTGTACTATATGTTCTTTATATGCATTATCCCATTTAATTTTAATAGTTATACCATTTTCTACTTTTAACTATCTCATCCTTTCTACACTGATAGAAAAGTGTCCCTAAACCCAGAGACTTATTAGTACCTGGCTGTTTTAGAAGTTCCTGACCCATAACATTTCTGAAGTTATCGCTACAGGATATGGTTGCAAAGGCCTAGGAGGAGAAATCCTTTCTGTCTCTGATGGTTTCAGGGAAGGTAAGAGGTCTCCTGTCTCTTTGTGGTAAAAACACCAGGGTAGGCCTTGATCTCCTGAGTCTTGAGTATGTTAAGGGAAAGACACTAAGACTGCTCTGCCAAAAGGGCAGACCCTGCCTGGTGTCTGGGAAGTTGAGCCCAAGTTTCTCTCCAAGGAGGGTCTCCTGCAGGGATCAGGAAGGAGGGTCTACTGGCATCACACAGGACCTCTTCTAGGTTCAGGAGGGTTTCCTATAGCTAGATGAGACAGAATTGATTGATGTCTCAGTGATGCTTCAGGCCATGTTGATTGGACCTCCGCTAAAGGCAAGCCGCCCTTCAGAGCCACGTGTTCTCAAGAGACAGCACAGCCATAACCGCAAGAGTAGGATGGTCCTGGTGGAAATGGCACAATCAAACAAGCTCCTGGGCCTTGTGGCTTTGAGTGGCTGAACTGGAAGGTTCTTGGGGTGTGAGCACTCTCACTCGCAGTGTTGATCAAGCAGCGTAATCACATCACTGCCCCCACAGAAGTGGCAGCCACTCAGTTCTCCTTAGCCCAGGCTGATTTCTGCTCTGCTGGTTCATAGGAAACCACTTGGGTGTTTCATGACTGCTGAAGCCCGAGGCACTTTCTCCAGGGGCAGCATGCATCACTCACAGGATGGACCAAGCGAAATGTCCTGGTCAAAGGCAAGAAGTTTGTATTATTGTCCTTGCCTATTTTACTATCATGTAAATACTCACCAACCAACCTACAGATATTCTCTGAGTACTTACTATGTAGGTGTTAAGGGATACAAAAATAAGGGTGTGGCTAGGGGTGGCATGCTTTTTGCCCCTAACTTGCAAATTTGTTGAGAACATGATGCCAGGGACGGTAAAAACAAAAGATAAATACAAATAAATGGTAACATTTATGAGACAGGCACTAGGTTCTAGGCACTTCTTATGTGTTAACTCATTTCATCCTTACAACATTTCTATGGGCAGGTGCCATTATTACTCCCATTTTTACAGGTAAGGAGACAGAGGTGCCAAAGTTCAAGTGTGTGCCCAGGAAGGAGCATGCCGCCAGTGAGAGGGGGAGACAGGACTCAAACCCAGCAAGCCTGGTCTCAGACAAGGTGACTCATAAGGAGCAGGAAAGGAGGTAGGCGGCAGAACATTCAGTGCAGGGGTTCAGAGGGTGGAAGAAAGTAACTTCAATCTGGTTTAAAGAAACCAGTTATCAGAGACAGACAGGGCCTAAAGAAGGTATGGGTGGCTCAGAGTTTTAGGAAGGAAAAACAGGAAGTTGGGCCAATAGGGATAGCATGATAAGAGAACAAGTGCTAGGCTGGAAGACCAGGGGCCTGGCTGTGGCTGTGAGCAGCTGCTCCCTCGGGGCAGGTCACTCTGCTTTTTGGGCTGCCTTATTTTTCTCACCTCCAATTGGAGAAAATTGGGAAAGATGAGCTTTCAGGTCCCTTCAAGTTTTTACCTTATGGTTCTGTGATTTTTGAGGGCTGGCATGTTTTCCTGGTTGCTTCCAAAACCCTCTGACCACAGTCCCTCAGGCTGACCCTCTTGTGCTCAGTAATGTGGAAAGATGGCCCTCTGCTCACCAGCACGTGCTTCCAAGGGCTGTGGAGCCTGGGACAGAAGGTAGGGTTGGAAAGAAAATGAGAGGAGCTGGTTGGGAAAGATACTTACGTACAGAAAAGTTTCCGGCAAGTCAGAGGTGAGAGTAAAAGATCCAAATGAAAAGTCAGAGATTGCTAGGGCTTACCAAGGTGGAATAACTTGTCCAAGGTCTTAGCAGGCCAAGGGATATTGGATTATAACATTTCTAATACATTGTTTTGTATTTGGAAAATGCTCTGCCTTCAGTTTGTATTTTCTCTCCTTCTTCTTCTCGGTAATCAAATGAAGACGTTAGATTTGACGTTTCTTTCCAGTGTGTATAGTACAGACAGGAAACTAGGTGAATGGTGTAATGCAGTCAATGTTCTGTGACTCCATTCTGCCCCTGGAAGAGGGATGTTTTCTATAATAGTGATGTGACTTAACATCCTCTTCTCTTCCTAGAAAGGGAGTGAGAGAATGAGATAGCCATCTAGCACTTTCCCCCCTCACCTTTTCTACAAACTCTAGCATCTCATTTTACAGAAGAAAAGACTGAGGTGGAAGGGAGCAAAGGCAGAACAAAGGCAGAAGTGGAGCTTGCTGTTTCATCCAGTGTGGGTCACCTCAGGTCACCTGGGGCGCATCCTATGTGCCCAGATACTTACGGATGGGGTCATTCTGGGCCTTTGGCTCTGCACCAAGGGGCTGCATTTTGAGAAGCATGAGGTTGGGACTCCCAGAGGAAAGTTGAGAGTCAGGAAAACTTCAACAAATCCTCAGGAATCGAAACAGAACATGAGATGAGGATGTTCGGGACAGCTCTGCTGTTAGTTTCTGTGTGTGTGTTTGGGGGCCCATCTCTTGCCAAATCCAAGCTCATTTCTGCATATTTGTTTGCTTAATATGAAATACTCCAAAACTGCTCTTCATATTTGTTTAATCTGAAATGAAAATGACTCAGCAGAGAGGAAAAACAAGATTTAAATGCCCTGAATGACCCCTTAATTAAAATATGTATCCCCAAATCATGGGGGTGTTTTTCTCCCCACCAAACCTTAATCTTCAACACACACAAATGCAAGTGCCACACACAGTCATGCATACACACACACACACACACACACACATTGTGTTTGCCTGCCACAACTTGACCTCAGTCCCTTTATCTCTTTTCCCCTTCGTACTCCAGCCTTTCCAGGGTCCTGCCTTTCTTGCAAGGGGAGACATATTTGAGCTTAGGTGGAGGGGCCTGGCCTGAGCTATAGGCCACAGATGATTTTCCAGGAGGGCCACCACCTCCTCTCCAGTCCAGATCACAGGCTCGGTGTCAAGATCCCTGTGGGAAATCTGAATTTTCGTTCTTCAGCAAAGTCGAGGCCACCTCAGATTGTCCCTAGCTTTTGGATCTGGAAAAATGGACTCCATGGACAGAATGGCCATCTACCAAATCAGACATGTCTTGCTTTGTACACAAGCTGTATTCCTGAAAAGTTGGGTATAAACTGGATCTTGGGATGTTGCATCAAGTTTGAGTGTACTGAAATTTGCTATTCAAAGGAACCTAGCACTGGATTCTTTTGTCAAGGGAAGAATTACTTTGTAATGGCTACTCATCTAGTGATTTATGAGTTTGTTAAGTAGATGGAACATTTTTGTATACTGAACGTTATTTTAAATGTACTGTGTGGGATTTGTTTTTCAAAGTTACCGGCATTGAATCCTTTTGTGAATAACTATTCTGTAGTGTAGATAAACATTTCACGATGTATGAGTTTGGTAACTTTAGGCATTTCTTAAAGTGGGATATACCCCTAGTTCTGCTTCAGAGAAAAAGTTGTTTTTTGCTAATGATCAGACTTGGAGAAAAAAGAGCTCTACCATATGTGAGTTATGGTCACTCCTGAGGGGCTTGGGAAGAACGGAGGTACTCAAACTTTCCATTTTGTTAGAGCAAAAGATCCAGGAGTTGCCTGCTCTTCTTACTTTCTGTATTATCACTGGGGTGGAAATTATGGAGATTATTTTCCCAGAGAAATGTAGTTCACTATTATAGCTACATTTCAAAGGTGTTTCTCTTCATATCTATATCATTTAAATATATATAAATATACATATGTACACACACATACATGTATATACACAAACGCATATATATATACACACATACATATGCACATATGTATGTATATACATATATAATCTATCATGTATATTTAGATCTAAAGCAAGAAACAGATGTTGCATTGCAGTAGGGCTTGTGTTTTGAACCACTGAAGGGCTGCTGTTTCCACCAGTACAGAGTGTTGGGGCTTGCTCTGAGATCACCAGGAGTATAAACCAGGCAAGAGGGAGACTTTAATTTCCTGCTCACTCTTTCTCACTTCGCAGGTCAAAAATCATTTCAGTACTCGTCTCCCAAGGTTCCTAGCTGTGTCCCCATACCATCCTATCTGAGCACTGGTGTGAAGCTTGTTTTGGGAAATGATCTGATTGCTAAGACAGTTGGAAAAAAAATATAGTGTCATGTGTGTACAGCCAAGAGCTGACCTAGGATGCCCACATATTCCTGGCTCATCCATGAGCCACATATTCATTGAGGTTCTTATAGGTAGGAGCAAACCCTGCTTATAAGAACCGTACATGGACTGGCAATGGACTGGCAATGTTTCAGGCAGAATGTGCAGAAAACTTACCCTTTCACCGTGATTTGGCCCTGAATGTGTCTCAGAAAAAGGCTTTTGGAAGCTCATCCAAGTGCAGAGATAATTTGTGAGACATTTAACCTCTCAGACTCTTGCTTTTTTCTTTCCTAGAGAGCTGCTAATTTCTAGTTGTGGCTGCCACACTCCCGTCTGCCTGATCTTCCATTTTACTTCCTGGTTTACCGGTGGCTTTGACACATGGCCTGTCCAGATCCCAGTGGAGGCAGTCCTGAGATGGAGAGTTGGCGGTCTTTTGTCAGATCTGGGAGGTCCTGAACCATGACTTCCTTTGAAATCAATTTGGAATGTCCATCCAGCTTGGCTAAGGAAGAGGATTTTGACTGTGAAGAGGGAAGTGGGTTCTTTACTACAAAGGACATATTCTCTCTGAGTCACGTGTTCCTTGATGTTCTTTGGTAAATGTTGGGCTGTGGGCCTAGAAACACTGACCTTGGAGTCAGGGAAACTGGGATCCAGTTCTAACTCTGTGGTCTTCTAACTTAGTGACCCAAGTAAGTCAAAATTAATCTCATTTCGATGTAGAGATATGCAAGATCCTTGACCTTCAATGACTCATGGTCTGGCTTGAGAGAAAGACAGGTAAAGAAGCAAACTCTAATTCAGCACAATGAATGGGAAGCAGCAGTCAGACCAGGTAAAACAGCCTCAATTGAGGGTGAAGGGACTGAGGGCTGTACTTTTCTACTTTGTCAAAAGGAGATGATAATTTCTCTCCACAGGATTGTGGTGACGCTCAATGATATAATGCATCTATAAGTAACTGATGAAGTTGAGGAATTCTAAAATAGAAACAGGTAGTGATTCTCAACTGTTTTCTTTTTCCACTCTATTCACATGCAAGGTGTGCTAACCAATGATATCTCCCAATACAACAAGTGATTCTTGAAGTATAGGACATGTTCCCCCCACACCTCCAACTCTGGGAATGCACAGAAAGCATCCTTGAGATTCTGATAGTCTGTTTCCAGGAAAAATGTTTTGTTTGGTTTCATCAGAAAAGCTAATATAAATGACATTAACAAGGAACACATTTTCCTTGTTGAAAATCAAAACATTACAAATAAGGCTAAAGTCTCCCTTTGATCACCATTCACAATCTCCTCTGACAAATGCAGCAGTCCATCTCCTAACTCCATCTCTGAGGGAACCACTACTGTCAGCATGGTGTTTAATCTTCCAGATCTTATATATATATAAACGTACATGAGTGTGTATCTATTCATAGAAATATATAGTGTGCTTTACATAAACTTTGCAACCTTGTTCACCTAAAAACATGTCATCAACTTCAAACCTTGTAACTGTGAGTAGCTCTAATATATTCATTGTTACGATTGCATAGCATTTCACAGTAGGAATATACTATAGTTAATAACATTATCCTACTGGTAGACATTTTTCTAAGTTTTTGTTATTAAAAATATATTGCAAAGCTGGCCGGGCGCGGTGGCTCAAGCCTGTAATCCCAGCACTTTGGGAGGCCAAGGCGGGTGGATCACGAGGTCAGGAGATCGAGACCATCCTGGCTAACATGGTGAAACCCCGTCTCTACTAAAAATACAAAAAACTAGCCGGGCGTGGTGGCGGGCGCCTGTAGTCCCAGCTACTCGGAGGCTGAGGCAGGAGAATGGCGTGAACCTGGGAGGCGGAGCTTGCAGTGAGCCGAGATCGTGCCACTGCACTCCAGCCTGGGTGACACAGCGCGAGACTCCGTCTCAAAAAAAATATATATATATATATATATTGCAAAGCACTTTTTTGTGTATGCCTCTTTGTGTACACACACAAGTCTTTCTTTAGGGTGAATAATAAATGGGATATATACATCATGGTATATGTATTTTTATTGAAATTATCTTCTAATTTATATATCCAGCAGCAGAGTATGAGAGTATGCATTTGCCTATCTTATTGCCAAGTTTTATATTATCACACTTTAAAATTTTGCCAATCTGATAGATAAAAATTAGCATTCAACTACTGCTTTAATGTTTGTCTTTGTGACTACTAGCAAGGTTGAATACTTTTAGATGTTTACAGCATTATATTGTCTCCCCTGTTAAATACTTTTTATTTACTTGGCCCATTTTTCTAGTGGCTTTTTAAAAATGATTTATAGAGATTATTTATACTAGAAGTTATTTCATTATACAATTTCAAATATTTCTTTGCCAGTTGTTTACATGTTATGTTTATGATGTCTTTTGATCTTAAAGAAGTTTTGAATTTTTGATGGAAACATTTATTATTCTTTTCATTTCTGGATTTTGCTTTCCATGTCTTATTTGTGCAGGCCTTCCTTATCTTTAGGTCATAGCAATTGTTCTAGATTTTCCTTGAAATATTCTTATGGTTGCATCTTTACATTTTGGGCTCTTCATTTTTGTGAGGTGTAGATACACCTTCATTTGCTTTTTTTTTAAAAAAAATATTTTTAGTTCTAGGGTACATATGCATAATGTGCAGGTTTGTTACATATGTATACATGTGCCATGTTGGTGTGGCTGCACCCATTAACTCGTCATTTACATTAGGTTATATCTCCTAATGCTATCCCTCCCGCTCCCCCTCCTCATAATAGGACCTGGTGTGTGATGCTCCCCTTCCTGTGTCCAAGTAATCTCATTGTTCAGTTCCCACCTGTGAGTGAGAACACGCGGTATTTGGTTTTCTGTTCTTGCGATAGTTTGCTGAGAATGATGGTTTCCAGCTGCATCCATGTCCCTACAAAGGACACGAACCCATCCTTTTTTATGGCTGCATAGTGTTCCATGGTGTATATTGCCACATTTTCTTAATCCAGTCCGTCACTGATGGACATTTGGGTTGATTCCAAGTCTTTTGCTATTGTGAATAGTGCTGCAATAAACATACTGTGCATGTATCTTTATAGCAGCATGACTTATAATCCTTTGGGTATATCCCCAGTAATGGGATGGCTGGGTCATATGGTACTTTCTAGTTCTAGATCCTTGAGGAATCGCCACAGTGTTTTCCACAATGGTTGAACTAGTTTACAATCCCACCAACAGTGTAAAAGTGTTCCTATTTCTCCACATCCTCTCCAGCACCTGTTGTTTCCTGACTTTTTAATGATTGCCATTCTAACTGGTGTGAGATGGTATCTCATTTTGGTTTTGATTTGCATTTCTCTGATGGCGAGTGATGATGAGCATTTTTTCATGTGTCTGTTGGCCTGTATGAATGTCTTCTTTTGAGAAGTGTCTGTTCATATCCTTTGCCCACTTTTTGATGGGTGTTGTTTTTTTTCTTGTAAATTTGATTGAGTTCTTTGTAGGTTCTGGATATTAGCCTTTGTCAGATGAGTAGATTGCAAATTTTCTCCCATTCTGTAGGTTTGCCTGTTTCACTCTGATAGTAGTTTCTTTTGCTGTGCAGAAGCACTTTAGTTTAATTAGATCCCATTTGTCAATTTTGGCTTTTGTTGCCGTTGCTTTTGGACATGAAGTCCTTGCCCATGCCTATGTCGACTACTAAAGCATTTGAAACTTCTTCATCAAGTTTAAATGCTCCCTTTCTCAGGTGGTACATTTCCATTTATTCATGAGTCTTTTCTGGGTTGTTCATTCTCTTCAATGTTCTGCTTATCTATTTATATACCAATTACATACTCAGGGAGGCCTTTGCTGGCCACCTTACCTAGAATAGCTCTCATTCCCTTTGTATTACATTACTGTATTTTATCTTCTTCCATGTAGATATGTTTCTTTAAAATTCTTCTTCATTTACTTGTTTGCTTATGTACATAAGTTCCATGTTGGCAGGAACCTTCTTTGCCTTTTTTACTGATGTGCTTATCACCTGTAATAGCATCTAATAGCTATTTACAAAATAGTTGCTGAATGAATGAATGAAGGCCAGTGGCTTGACCAGTGGTGTTTGCATTTTGCGTTTTATTTCTTAAGGCTTAAATACATTGCCAAAGGGATTTCTACTACTAACTAAAGAAGTGGGTAGAGAAGGGCTTTTTCAGAAGTCCTTGACATGCTTCTTTTGAGTTCTGTTGACATGTCACATTGTTTAAATATTGAACCCTTGGAAAGACTTCTTCAAAGGTGCAGAAAAGGGTTTTTCTGCTCACAATAACCTTTGGAGATACTTCCTTTTAGGGCATGGAATTTAAAATGACCAGATGTAGTCACTGAATATATGGCTCGAGACAATCATTAATTCATTCTGCAAATACTTACCAGGCACTCTGGTAGTGTTGAGACTACAATAGTGAATAAAATGAACATGGAGCTTGTATGTGTTGGGGGTAATACAAATTAAACAATCACAGCAATGAATATATAGTGAGAAACTATGATCATTTCTATATAGAAACATGTTTTTAGAGTATGTAACAATCAAGGGGATCAGAGAATATTTCACTGAGAAATTGACCATTTAGTGGAGATCTGAACTAGGCAAAGAGAGGAGAGAAAGTTCTTGGCAGAGGTCCTTAGGCAAAAGAAAATGGAAGAAAAAAGAAAAGAAGCCCCAGTGTGACTGAGGTGGAAAGGATGAGGAGAAGGGCAGCTCTGGTGAAGTAGGTGGAGCCCAGATCGAAGGATGATATAGTGCGATGATGAGCAAAAACAAAAGAAGGAGCAACAACAACAACAAAAACTCATGTGGATTTTGAAGTAACACCAGCCTTAGGTTCACATATGAGTTTGGTTACCTATCAGGTGTGTAACCTGATCAGCTTTAACCTCTTTCTCCTTAGCTCCCCTGTTGTTGAAAACAAAACTCATTGAGTTACTGTGAATATTGTAAGAGACATCTCTGATTCGCAGTAGATACACACGGTATAGGTATAATACTTCTAGGTGCTTTACAGTGCTCTGTTTGTTAGCTGACAGTCATCTAATTTTAAGCAAAACAGAAAAATAATTACTGCTTTTGGAGATTCGTAGTGTGAAGCCCAGCAACAGTTTCTAAAAGTAAATTAGTTAACATTTTTTGAACACTTAGTAAGTTTGACTTAGTTCAGTTAAAAACCATTTTTGAGCATATACTTTGTACATGATATAAAGTAATACTTTGGCAGTACAAGAATGAGCCATTTTGAAGTTAATGATTAAATGGATAATTTTATAACAATGTTGTGAAGGATCCAATAGAGTTAAATTAAGTATGTGTTTTGGTGAAGGCAAGAAAGGAAATGAGGTGTGGGAGATATTCTTTGCAGAAGGAATTTTTTGGGGAGGGGAGGAAGTTACGGCCAGTAACCCATGAGAGAGGTGCCACAAGAGAGAGAGAATTCTAGGACTCTTCTGCAAAAGGCTGCTAGGAGAGGGCGGGGAGCCAGGGCAGTCCTGGGCCTCAGTGCTTACTGAATGGCTGCTCACAAAGAGCTCGGGTCTCTCTGGAAGGACATCCTGGATTATGGTCATGAGTTAGTGCTCAACTATAGCCAAGACCAATGTCTCCAGGATTCACCTGTGTGTTTCTTTCTCTGGACATGTTTCTTTAGGGACTTATTTATGGAAATAGTGTTCCTGCTGCTGGAAGTAGCTAGGAACATTGAGACATGTATTTTATCTTATCCAAATCAATCCTATGAAACTATGCTCATCACCCTTTGTAGTTGTGGATCACACACCCCTCAGCCCCTCACTATGGGGTCATTTAAATCTTCTGTGTTTTATTTGTTTGGATCCATCCTCTTCAGTCAAAACCATCTGACTATATTGCTTTCTTTTTTTTTTTTTTTTAGCCCCTCTGGGTGTGTCAGTATTATACTGCTTAGAAATTGTCTTAGAAAACTTCTGTTTCCTGAAAAAGAAAGTGCCTTACTCATGTCATCCTCTTATTTACTCCACCCCTGTTATTGCCTATTAAAGTCTTATCCATCCTTCAAGAACCTGATCAGATTTTTTTTTCTCCATGAAACCTTCCCTAATCACTCCAGCTTAAGAGAATTTTTTCTTTCTTTATAATATTGTGTCACATACTATTTCTAACAGTGCATCCAATGCTTGCTTGCTTATTAGTGTTACTCAGAGGGAATTTTTTTAAAAATCAAAATCAACTTTGTATTCTATACAAAGTTGTATACAAACAACTTTGTTTGTTTGTTTGTTTTGTCTTGCTCTGTCACCCAGGCTGGAGTGCAGTGGCACAATCTCGGCTCACTGCAACCTCCACCTCCCGGGTTCAAGTGGTTCTCATGCCTTAACCTCCCAAGTAACTGGGATTACAGGCACTCACCACCATGCCTGGCTAATTTTTGTATTTTTAACAGAGACGGGGTTTCACCATGATGGCCAGGTTGGTCTCGAACTCCTGACCTCAGGTGATCCGCCTGCCTCGGCCTTCCAAAGTTCTGGGATTACAGGCATGAGCCAATGTGCCTGGCCTTCTAGAGCAGTTTTATATTTACATAATCATTGTGATTACATTACATAATCATCGTGAAGCTGGTACAGGAAATCCTTGTATATCCCACATCCAGTTTCCCCTATTATTATCATCTTATATTAACATAGTACATTTGTCAAAATGAATGAACTGATAGGGATACATTATTATTAGCTAAAGTCCATTCTTTATTCTGATTTCCTCAGTTTCCCCTAATGTCCTCTGTCTGGATATAACATTGCACTTAGTCATCATGTCTCCTTAGGCTCCCTTACCTGTGACAGTTTCTCAGACTTCCTTGTTTTTAGTTACCTTGACAGTTTTGAGCATTACTCACCAGAAACTTTATAGCATTTCCCTCAATTGAGATTTGTCTGGTGATTTTTTTTTAAGTAGACTGAGGTAATGGGTTTTTGGGTGGAAGACCACAGAGGTAAAGTGTCATTTTCATCACATAATATCAAGTACACATACCATCAATATGACTTATCAGTGTTGGTGTTAACCTTGATCACCCTGTCTTGAGGAAGTGTTTGTCAGATTTCTGCACTGAAAAGTGACACTTTTTCTTTCTCCATTTTTACACTGTACTTCTTGGGACAAAGTAACTACATGCAACTAACTCTTAAGGAGCTGGGGAAGGGAGATAGTAATACTTCATTTCCTTAAGAGCAGATTATCTACATAAATTATTTGGAATTCTTTTGCATTGGAAATATGCCTATTCTCCCCATTTGTTTATTCAATCATTAATTTATAGCAGCATGGACTCATGGATATTTATTTTATTCTTTGGTTTATAATTCAATACTACTTTTTTTGGAGGGGGAACTCATTAAGTGGGCTACTGTGTCCCTTTGACATCCCCCATAATCTTTTTGCATGTACGTTTTCTCAATTTCTGGCACTAAAAGATACTCCAAGTCTATCTTGTGTATATTCTGCACCATTCCCAGAATCAGCCATTTTCCTGAGGAATCCGGTCTCCTTTTATTGAAGAATGGTTATTAGAAATCAAGATCTGAGCACTAGGTTTTCTCATTGCTACTGGGATGTCATTGCCTCTAGGCCCTCTCAGCGGATGGAACATATGTGTGTATACTTACCCAGGCATATACACATGTCTACAAATATTTCCATATGTAACTATTTGTATCCTTATTAAGCTAAACATGAGTTCATACTGATGTCTCCAAATCTAATCTATTATCATATGAATCATTCTGGGGAAACCTGAAAATACAGAATCCCAGGTATCACTCCAGAGATAATGAATCGGGATAAATATTGAACGTACATGTTTTGAAAGGCAAACATTAAAAGTATTGAATATTTCTCTTGGTTGAATATTGGAATCAGTATTAAGATTTTGAAAACATCAGTTTACATGATAAATATAAGTTTTACTTTGCCATTATTCACCATTTGGGTAAGTATTTATCTTAGGAAAACTTTGTTGTCTGACTGTAGTTTTGCTAATTTAAATTTCATGAGTGTGCAATCTGATAGAGTTTGAAAATTATTGTATTAGGTGATTATTGGATGTGCCATTCAACTCCCAAAGTCTATGATTTGAAGTCCCATATATAAAAATAAACACTGCAGGAACACAAAATTAACTGTGAGAAGTGTATTCATTCATGTTGGCAGTATCTGCCTCACTCATTTCCTCTGCTTCCCTTTCTGTTTTCTTGCATTATTGGTTGGCGGCAGACTCCAGTTCCAACACCATCTTCTGAGATGATCCTGATTCCCAGAATGCTCTTGGTGCTGTTCCTGCTGCTGCCTATCTTGAGTTCTGCAAAAGCTCAGGTTAATCCAGGTAACATGGCTATTACTCAGTTATATGCTAGAAGACTGGCAGAATGTTAAAACCCACCAATGTTCAATGGTGGGTCTAAAAGCTGCCAAGAGGGTCTACAAAGTTCTTTCTCCGTGGTGAAATAGGAACAAAAACTAATATTTTTTATATATATATACACACACACACGTATATATATACACACATATATATGTGTATTTTAATACAACCTGTTGAATATTGTAAAAGATTTTCTTATATAGAGTATGGTGCAGTAAGAGGGCATTTAAAAAATGGGAGGTGGCAGAAGCAACCATTTGCTTCTTCATCTTCTGAGAAAAACAGGACAGAATTTTTAGATGTCTTAGAGAACTTCTTCAGGTTGGTTTACGAGTTGTTTCTGGCTGTCTTAGGCTTTGATTTTACTTGGATGTCCTGTTATGCTTTTGGGATCCTGGTCCTGTGGGATCTCAGGCAGATTCTCTTTCCTCTAGGGTGTAGCCATGCTCAAAATAAATAGGTTAGGAGAATCTTTTGAGCCTAATTTTGTGGGATTATGTTGTATTACATGCACTTTTAAAGTTTAAATGGAAGTAAATAATTGTATTATTTGTTACACAATAATGCTGCTTAACAACCTATCCAAAGCTCAATGTCTTTAAATGAACATTTATTTGGCTCCTAGCTGGACTTGTTTGGACTGTTCTCTGTTCTGTGTTGATTCACTCAAGCATAACTGAGAGTCAGCTGGCTATTGGCTCATCTAGGATGGCCATGGCACAGATGAATGGGGCAACTTTGCTGTGCTCTGTTTCATCCTCCTGCAGACTAGCCTGGGTATGTTTTCCTGGAAATTGCACAGGAACAAGACCAGAAGCCAGAATATTCAAACATTTTTCAAGTCACTGCTGAAATCGTGTTTACGTCTCATTGGCCAAAGCAATTCATGTGGCCGAGCCCAGAGTCAGAGTGGGAGAGCACAAAAAATTAGATGGTAAAGATCTGGGATGCAGGTATTGGAGAAGAATTGTAGTCATTTTTTTTTCATTTTGCCACAAATATGAACATGGAAAAGTATACACAGCTTAAGTGTTGAATTTTATGAATTTTATAAACTGAACACATCTAAACAGTACCCGAATTAAGAAACAGAACTATACCAGCATTTCAGAAGCTCTCTTCATGCTTCATTCCAGTAACTTTTCTCAGCACCCCCCAAAGGTAGCCATTATCCTGCTTTCCAGCAACATAGATGAGTTTTGCCCATTTTTGTACTTACATACACAGAATTAGATGATGCATAAATGTTCTTTGTGTCTGGCTTCTTTCACTCAACATTTTGTTTATGAGATTCATCCTACTGTTGCATGCAGTTGTCAACTATTCATTTTCATTGTTGTATATTACTTTGAATATTTTATGTAGCCAATCTACTGTAGATGGGAATTTGGATAATTTCTAGTTTGGGCCCATTATGAACAAAGCTCCTATAATTATTCTTGTATAAAACTTTTGGTAGAGATAAGTACTCAGTTCCTTTGAGTATACACTTAGAAGTGGAACTTTCATATGTGTAGCATATGATGTACTATTCTGCATAATACCAAAAATTGTTTTGAAGTGCTTTACCATTTTACCATCCCATAGCAGTATATGTGAGTTCCAGTTGTTCCATGCTATATTTTGATTCTAGAGGGTGCTTTAATTTTATCCTCTTCATAGCATAAGGGTTCATTTGTGAAATGTTTGCTCTCCTCCTTCCACAAAAGTTCCATGTACATGGGTTTTTCTTTATACCTTCAATAGGAAATACGATCAAAACTCCTTAAAATCAAAGAATTATTGGTTGAAGAAGCCCAGTGCCTTGTTACTTTCTCATAATAAGCTCAGCTGTTGCATCTCAGATCCTAAATTGGGTACCATTTTTTCCTTTTTCTGCTCTGTATTCCTCTCAATCAATTGTTGATGTTTGGTTGCCTCCTACTACATTCTTCATGCTCTGAGTTCCAAGGAAGAGTGCTGTGAGTGCATGGAGTGGTGGGATGTTTTGGTGGTAAGCATACTCACGGAGACTGGCATACCATGAGGACATTTAAATGACTAACCAGGAGAGCTAATCTTCTGTGTTAGAGTCCACACTGTGGCCCTGGAACAGGAAATGGACTGTTTGAAGACAGCAAAAAGTCATCTTTCTTTTTTTTTTTTTTTTTTTCTATTTCTGGTGTCAGGTATTTCTGTTGGCTCACTCTGACAGGGAAAAAGACATCTCGATTTGCAAAGACCTTTATAGGAAAACAGGACATGTTGAAGGACTAATCCTTCCCTCTGCCATTTCTTTCTATTTTACCAAGTCAAACCAGAGACGAGTGTTTGAGGCAGATGAGAAATTTTCATTCATTATCAGTGATGAAGAGTCTATCATGAATCCTGAGGCTCATGGAATTTTATAGCTTGCACACTGCTGAGCATAAAGTCAACATATAATAAATGCATGTTGATTTAAGGATGACTCTTCAGGAGTCCTTACTGGTGTCAACTGAAAGCCTGACTATAACTGAAAGTATTGAAAGGTAACTGAAGGCACTGAAAGACTGAGTAAATTCTTGGCCAGTTAGGTTTTTCCCATAGGGTGGCCACATGATATAACAAATAGAACTTAAGCCAGGAGACCTGGGTTATAAGCAAATCCAATATGCAACCAATTATTAAATTATCGAAACATTTTAGTAGGTTATTGCATATAAAATATTGGTTGGTTAATAGTTACTGAGCTAAGCATTAAACTCAATAAAATAAAAATAAAATAATAATTAGTTGAAGCTCATTGTTGAAGATTTTACAGTGACTATTGGTCAATAAGCCTTCAGTATTAGCATGATTTAGTTGATAGCAGAAACATTGAATATGATATGATATGAAATATCCATCTTGGGATCTCAGCAGATACCAAGAGAGGATAAATAATCTTGTTTATATTTTAAAACTTCTCTACTATTTTAAATCATAAATGTCTCACTGGTGTCATCCAGGGAGGCTGCAGAGTAGTGGTAGTATGACAGAGATAGTTGGCAGAGGCACGAAGGCAGCAGAGCTCTTGGCTCACTGTTCTAAAGCATCTGAGTTTTGGCAAAGCAGGCAGTGAGGCACATGGTGTTAGTGGCATTTCCAGTAATGGCAGTGTTAAAGGCAGCATTGTCAATGGGGCCTGCAGTGTAGGCTATGCAAGACTTTGTGGGAAATGCTGACATGAATTGTATATACATAGTCCTGAATTGTGGGCAGTGTATCTTCCCGCTGCAACGATGCACCAGGAACTGGAACCTAATCATCATTCATCCAGTGGGGGAAGTTACTGGAAGAATTTGAGGCAGTCTCTTATATCCAAATCATGGATCAGAAATACCATTTAGCTAGTGACATCCAAATCAGACAAATAATCATCCCAATAATTTCTGAAAATCATTTCTACAAATCAACAGATGGTTGCAATGTTATTAGTTCTGATGAATGATTTGAAGTTAACTTAGAAAAAAGTATTTAGCTTACTTTTGAGTAACAACCCTAATTATAATCCTGACTTGGTCATAAATTAATTGTGTGACAGTGAGGACGTTGTTATGTGTCTCTTTGTACTTCCTTAATCTTTTTGCCTGTAGTAAGATTAAGTTGGATTAGATAATCTATGGTACCCTTTCTGCTACAAAATTGCTGTGATTTTTATGGTGTGAGAACTTTATAGCACATACTGGAAGATTTGTTGGGCTTTGGGCTTGGAGGTATAGCCCCTGAAGTTGCATGGCTGTTTTTTGCAAGAAAGACTACTTGTTTCCAACTCTCTACCACTTCCCAGGTTCAGGGATGTGAAGTCTGAATTTCAGGAGAATCTTGCCTTTGGGGTAAAGCACACAGGAAGTGACTGATAAATACTTAAAAATTTTAAACCCTAAAACTCTGCTTAGTGGCAGGTGAGTGCAGAAACCCTGCCCTAGCCTAACCTGCAGGAGCATCATAGTGCTACAAGCCACCCTGCTCCAGAGCATCTTTTGCTCTAGAGGTGGGGCCAAGAAGTAGCATTTCAGGCTGAAGATACAGCATATGCAATGGCTGAGAGGAGGGAGAGGAACATGTGGGGCTCCTAGTGGAGGTTAATGAGTGAGAGAGCCAGCAGGGCTATGTAGGGGATCCATTCCTCTGTGGGATCCTTGAGTCAAGTTTTCCCTTATTTCCAACTTGGGCTGGGACTGCCAAACTTGATAGGAGAACTAAGGGTATCTCCATGGGAAAGGGACCTCTTTAGACTCCACAATCATGTACTAAAATACTGGCCTGCAGTAGTTGTCTGAGTATACACCCGTGTCAGGCTCCCCTAGGGGTCATAAAACCACTGTTGCAATGGTTGGTGGGGAACTGGCACCTTATGTTTTTCCAGATAGGAGGATGAACAGAAGTATCCTGATGATCCTGAAATTCTAGCCCAGCGGTCTGAAGCCCTGGGACCCACTCAGCCAACTAGAGGACTGTTGTGTATAAAAAGTACAGGGGTGCTTATTCTCACTCCCCTGACTTGGCCTGTGACAATTGTTTGTGGTTAGGAAAGGGAGAAACATCTCTTCTTCTCAACAGGCAAACCAGGCCTTTAGGATCCATGGTACAAAGCTGGGGCATGGCAGTGCTGGGACTTCCCATTTTCATCTCACACTTTCCCCTCGTAGGAAGCAGGCAACTTACTACCAGTTCAGAGTCCTGGGGTGGGAGTCCCCTTTTGGTATTCAGAATGCTTCCACTTTGAAAAAGAGTGGCAAAGCCATTCAGGGTTTGGGATTAGGAGAGGAAGAGCTTTTCTCCTGCTGGCCCCAAATTTATTTTACGTGCACCACTGTGGTTTTTGTTCTTTCCAGCATCAATCCCACATGTCATTGAGTTCTTAGGGTCAGACAACTAGAATTTCTAGACTATTCATTTTGGAATGGACCTTAGAAATATCTAAGTCACTCTTCCTCATTTTACAGATGAGGAAATGG